TTTATGACTCTTGCATGGTATGTTGAGCTAGGTCTATTTGTACGTTGGGATAGTCCCACTGTAAGTTAGGCTAGGCCCATTTATATGGTGGGCTAGGCTCATGGACCAGGAGGGGCTAGGTCCATTATATGTTATATAGGTGCTAACTGTCTTTGGGACTTTTGCATTCGTTTATCGGGCTAGGTCCATTGGTTTGATAGGGATAGGCACATTATGGTGGGTTGGGCCCAATATGCGGGCTGGGCCCAATGTAAGGGCTAGGCTTAATGGTATGTATGATATGCAATATTTTGGGGAACTCACTAAGCTTTGTGTTTATGGTTTTTATGGTTATGGTTTCAGGTGCTTACGGTTCGAAATGGAAGGGTCCAATTTGATCGCAGCGCATTCACCCATATTTTCGCGTTATGTTGATTTTGTGATTGTACTCTGATAACTGTTTTCTTATAAAGTAGTTTGAATATTTATAAAATGAGTTTTTACTTAAAGATAATTAATGTTTTTGTTGAATTAAAAATGAAGTTTTTATCTCATAATTTTGGAATGTTACAAAAGACCTGTTATCTTGTTCGAAAAACCTTGATGTCGGCCCCACCCAATCCACCCCTTCGAAACTCATCGACAGAGAAACTAATTTGGGTAGAAAGTATACAAGAGCCCTAACGGTAAATAGAGTAGGATAATACACATGAGGAAAATGAATAAGACGAAAATTGGAGGAATAGAAGAAATCGAATAGAACGATTGTAGTGGTGAGAGATAACAATAGACTATGGAGGGTGAGGCGGTGGTTTGGAGGAGTGTAGGGAGCGATGGTGGATGGAACTGGAAGAGTTTTTGGATGGGGTAAACGTGGCCGACTCCAAAATTTACCCTGCAATCGATGAAATAAGCGGTGCTCAATGCATGTATGGACATCAATTTCATTCTTATTAGCTTACGAATCAAAAGGGGAAAAATAAAAGAGGAACATATTATTTAAAAAAAAAATGACCGATAGGGAGAGATCATTGTTTCTAAGGAAACAAAGTTTTAATATATATATATATATATATATATATATATGTGTGTGTGTGTGTGTGTGTGTGTGTGTGTGTTCAGGTTCATTTAAAACCATGATAATTTTGTCAGACCGTGAGACCAAATCTAAAAATAATATTAAAATGCAAAATAAAAGGAAAAATCCAAAAATTCTTTTTCTTAATTATTATTTTTGGAACTTTATTTACCTAAAAAAATTTAAAAAAATAAATAAAAAATTACCGTTCTTTTTGAAAAATACGTGAAATATTATAATAGAAAATTACAATGTACATATTTTAATGTAATTTTTAGAATGTTAGAATATTCTATTAGATTTGCCAGATATGTAGAATATTCTAATATTATACTAGAATATGTAAAAAAATATATTTTTTATATTTTTTGGTATTTTTTTTATTTTTTTGGATAATATATATTTAGAAAATAATATTGGAATTTTTTTTTGAAATTTTTTAATTATTTTGGATTTTAAAAATGTTTTTTGTTTTATCTATTGAATAAGCGGATAAGATTGCGTTTCACATGAACCTAACCCTGTGTGTGTGTATATATATATATATATATATATATATATATATATATATATATATATATATATATATATATATATATATATATATGAGGGTTCAATTAAGAAAAAAAAAGTTGATAATGGGCGAATCATTGTCAACCACTCATTTATTTTTGCTGCAAAAGCCTCCGTCGTACCAGCAGAAATGAGAAAAAAATAGACATTTGTTTTCCAACAAAACATGTTTCCTTAAAGTATGCTAAGCATTACCTTAATATATACAAAACATAGTTTTTTCGGTTTTTTTTTTTTTTTTTTTTTTTTTTTTAATTTTTTTTTTAATTTTTAAGAAGCTATTTTTATCGAAAAATGATTTTAAATATACCAAAATTCATGATTTTTTATTCTTTACAAATAGATATCCATATTGATATAGTTTTAAGATAAAATAAAAAATTTATTTAGTTTTTTATATTTTCAGCTATCGTTATTCATAAGTGAATACAAATGAATCAGGTTTTTACTACAATACATTCGTTGTTCATTTATGAATAAAAACTATGATTAATTTTTTTAAATTAAAAAAAATTATTATTTTTTTATTATTTATTAATTTTTTTACAATTTAAGTATCATTCATATATGAATATAGCATATACTAAACATAATATATTCATATTTAAATATTAGATGATTCATTCACTTGTGAATATTAGATAGTATATTCATTTGTGAATATTAGATGATATATTCACTTATGAATATTAGATAATATTTTCATATCTGAATATTACATAGTATTACATGACATATCAAATGTGAATATTACATAGTATATTCACTTATAAATATTAGATGATATATTCACTTATGAATATTACAATGTGTTTTCACAAATATATATAATTTTTATATGTTATTCACATATGAATAACATACAGACTTGCATATTCGTTTTTTTGTTTTAATAATCATATACTTATTCAAGTGATAAAAAATATTCATATATGAATATAACGTGATAATTTAGTTTATGCATTTCATCAAACAGTTGGAGTGCATACAATTTAACTTTTTTAAAAATGTTAAAAACATGATACTTTAACTATTTAAATCTTACAAAATAGTATATAGATAGAGAATTTTATGAAATTTTTCAAAAAAAAAAAAAAAAAAAAAAAAAAAAAAAAAAAAAAAAACGAATTGATCTTTTTCTAACCTCAATTTTGAAGTTTTATTTGAGAATCGATGTTGAATGAATGATATGAAGTGAATTTTTTGTTGATTATCAATGATGTTGATCTAAAAACACTGGGAGTATAATTAATCGTAGATGTTGAAGATCTGATCGTATTCAAGCAGAATTGAAGGTTGGATTGAAAGAACCAAAAACGATTTTTTGTTGTTAACTGTTGAATCGTGTTGATAAACATGTTATTGACGAAGATCGATAATTGGTTAACACCGGATAATGTTGATGATGGTTTAACTAAAGAAATCTGGATGATTGTTGAAGGTTGGAAGAGAAATTTGGATGATGAACGATCGAAATTTCTATACAGTTAAGTATTTGAGATTGAAGGTTAATATCATATTTACAAGTTTGCCACCGTATCTTTTTATGCTTAGATTAAATGAGTCGCTGAGAATGATTATCACATTCTTAACCTTTTTTATTTTTTCAATTGAACCCACCTCTCTCTCTCTCTCTCTCTCTCTCTCTCTATATATATATATATATATATATATATATATATATATATATATATATATATATATATATATATATATATATATATATATAGGTTCAGGTTCATTTGAGACCATTCTAATTTTGTGAGACCGTGAGACCAAATTTAAAAATAATTTTAAAATGCAAAATAAATGAAAAAATCCAAAAATTCTTTTTTTTTAATATAATTTTCGGAACTTGAATTAACTAAAAAAAGTAAAAAAAAATCTCATTTTTTTTTAAAAAATACGTGAAATATTCTAATAGAATATTACACTGACATATTCTAAAAAATAATTTTAAAACGCAAAATAAATGGAAAAATCTAAAAATTCTTTTTTAAAATATTATTTTCGAAACTTGAATTAACTAAAAAAAATAAAAAAAATAAAAAAAAAAATCCCGTTTTTTTTTGAAAAATACATGAAATATTCTAATAGAATATTACACTGTACATATTCTAAAAAATAATTTTAAAATGCAAAGTAAATAGAAAAATCCAAAAATTCTTTTTTTAAATATTATTTTCGGAACTTGAATTAACTAAAAAAAATTAAAAAAATGCGTCTCACGGTCTTACAAAATTAGGCCGTCTCACATGAACCTAACCGTGTATATATATATATATATATATATATATATATATATATATATATATATATATGTTAAAGTACTCATTTCTTAATAACTACGTGAATAATAACCTAATATTTAGGTATTTTACACCTAATAGTAACGAACAGAAAGCGTTGTATTAGCTATTCACGTCAGATGATGATGAATTTTAGATGAAATCGTTAACTAAAAATGACAATTGTTAGTTGAATTCGACAATTTTTATATAACAATTGTTAATCGATATTGGCAATTCCTAAAAATGATATAATGATACTAACTTTAAACCCTAAACCTAACCATTCACCCAAAAATAAAAATAAAAATAAAAAGTTTCAGTTTTTAGTTAACCTTCAATGTCAAAATCGTGAACCTTAATTTAACTTTAAAAACCTTTTTTTTTTTTTTTTTTTTTTGCCAATTCAATTAAACAAACAAAAAAAAAGACAAAAAAAAAAAAAAAGGTTCGATTAACCTAAAAACCGATACATGTTGTCAAATTAATATATTATACAATCTTTAATCTTTCAATCGTGAGTTTAACTCTTTTTAAAGGGGTTATCATGTATGTCGTATGATGATAGTTTGTTTTAGAATTATAATATTTATAACACACAATTGAATTTGATATTCTTTAAAGAAGAGTTATATATATATATATATATATATTATATATATATATATATATATATATATATATATATATATATATATATATATATATATATATATATATATATATATATATTAAACTTGTGATCAATGTCAACAGTAAACTTTTGAAATTTTATCCAAGTATGGTCCCTCTAATGTTGTTACGTATCCAAGGGGTGTTTTGTAAATTTTGCCAGCAGTGTCAACGTGGCTGAAAGTTGTTTATTTGTTGGTATTATCGAATGTACGTGTCAATTTATGCATATTTCTCTTTCTTTGGTAATCTTCTTTCTTCTCCGTTTGTGTTTCTTTCTGCTCACTGATTTCCTTCATCGACATCCCTCTTTCTCTCTGTAATGTAAATTTTGGCGTCCCTTCTTATTTTTCCTGTTTTCTGATTTAATTGCTTTGTTTATTTCCGTTGTGTTGTCGTTTATCTATGTCATGTTCGGTTCCTCCAAGCAGACCCGTGACGACGGTGCTTCGTCGTCTTCTGTTGTTCAGATTGGTCGTCATCGGAAGTGCCGACGTTTCGATGGGCTTTCAGTGCTTCCTGAGTACATTGATTGTGGTGATTGTAGCCGGGTGTGTGAGTATTGCGGTGCATTTTTCTGGTACGTGGAGAGGGCTCTTAATATGTCGATAGTTGCTCACCCAAGGTATACCCATTATTGTAGAGGTGGTAGTGTTGTTCTTCCGTATCCTTCTAGGTTTCCGTCTCGGTTTATTGCCTTGTATGAAAGTCGAAAATTTTTAAAGGATGTTAGGGCTTACAATAGTATGTTTTCCATGACCTCTTTTGGGGCTAATATCGATGAGGACATGAATGATAGTCGTGGCCCATATGTTTTTAAGGTCTCAGGAAAGATTAGTCATAAAATTGGGTCCCTCTCTCCAGATCTTGCAAAAGGACCGAGGTTTTTGCAGCTTTACTTATTTGATACAGATCACGAAGTTGAAAATCGGTTGAGGGCTTTTGATGGTCCCAGACCAACGACTTTGGATTCGACTGTTATCAATTATTTGAGCCGGTTTTTAGGTGAGAGTAATGAATACGTTCGGACCTTCAAGACTGCAAAGCAGATGGCTGAAGGAATGGATTTGGAATCGTATGTTGTCCGACTATTCAATGACATTCAGGACCGTAGATATGACTTACCTTTACCTGGGTCGTTAGGATGTATAGTAGCTGGCGATGATACAACATCTACCACATATGACATAATTATTCACTCGCAGTGAGGTCATCCACAGCGTATCAGTAAGCTGCATCCCAGCTACATGCCTATACAATACCCGCTTTTGTTCCCTTTTGGTGAGGAGGGTTGGTCTCCCCGTTTGAAGCTTGCCAATTAGAGGGGTGCAAATGCTCAAAATCTTACGGTAAATATGTATTATGCATATCATATCCATGCCCGCTAGCATATATGGTCTCCAATTATCAACTCATCACGTCTCTTTCAACAATATTTGGTAGCTGCGTATACGTGTATAGAGGAAAGTCGGTTGGATTACATTGTCAGACATCAATCAAATCTTCGTTCGGATTATGTTAGTGGCCTGTACGATACGCTTTCTAAGGGTGATAAAGATGCAGGGTCCGTTGGAAAACGGATTTTTTTGCCAGCATCATTCATTGGATGTCCCCGTTTCATGTACATTCATTATATAGCTAGATGCTCTATCCATATGTAGGGTGTATGGTAATCCACAGTACTTTATCACCTTTACATGTAACGTTAAATAGCTAGAGATCACCCGGTATATGGATACACATCACCAAACCGATATCCATAGTAGAGCAGACATAATTGGTCGAGTGTTCAATATAAAAGTTCGTGAGTTCATCCGATTTCTTAAAGAGGACAAAACCTTTGGCGATGTTGAAGCATGTATGTTCCCCACTTGGCTACTCTTTTTCATTTCATCTGATGTTATCTGTATTTTATCAGTTTTTTTATATGTATGTGATGTTTCCATCTGGTTTTTGTATGCTGATTCTATATATATATATATATATATATATATATATATATATATATATATATATATATATATATATATATTTCTATCTTCTATATAAAATTCATTTTCTTATACTCAACATTTCGCACCGTATGCATTCTGTTTACCTTATTTTCAGTTCTTCTAGATTATATATGTTTACATATCCTGATATCCATGGCTTCTTTATGAAATTTTTTATCTCATTAACAGGTTCATCCGCTTGCAGGATCCTTATGACTTATGTACTTAAATTATATATATATATATATATATATATATATATATATATATATATATATATATATATATAATTGAAATTGGTTTTTTAGTTACCAAACGTATTATTATTTTCTTTTATAAAAAAACATTCTCAATGCCCCTGTGCCGTTGTATGATTTTTAATTAAATAAACTTTTATCGAATTGTGGAATTTTTTTTACATGATATACACCTTCTTATAGGGTAGATTGACTGCCCCTGTCCCCATTGTCCTATTCTGTTATAACCTCACGTTTTTGATCTCATGCTATTCTTCTTTATTTACAACATGAAGCATACAAACACATATATACAATGAAAGGATTATTTTGTAAGAACACTGTTATATGAAAAAAAATATAATTGATTTCTTCTATATTGTACGTTTTTTTAGTTACTTCAATTGTTATTATTTCGCTACTGTTGTATGTTTCCTTAGGCAGAGAAACTGTATTTCACCTATTGTTCCTTTCATTTCCAGTAGGCGTATCACATGTCCCTTTTCTGTGTTTTGAATTTTTAATTAAATAATTTTTTATGGAATCCTGATATTTTTTTTATATGAAGCATACAAAACCACATACACACTGCAGGTGTTATCTTCTAACAACACTGCTATATGAAAAAAATATAATTCATTTTTTCCATTTTTTTTTTGTACACATGTTACCTTTTTTTGTGACTGTATGTATTTTCTTTACATTGAGATTCCTTAGTTACAAGTTTAATTGCTGTAAGCATAATTTTTTTCCCTTTTTTAATTTTAACTGTATCTACATAGATCACCTGCACTTTTATTCTGTATATGTTGTTCCCAAATTACCCCTTGGTTAAAAACAATTAATTTTGTTGCCATTACATGCTGACTTCTATTACACAACCCATTATACTCTTTTTTACCTACAAAGTAAAACGCACAAACACACATACATACCGCAGAGGTGGTTTTGGAATAACACCCTCTTATGCCCTTCTAGGTAAACAAGTCTTTACTCATACACATGTTATCGTTTATGTCACTGTTTGTTTTTTTCATTAAATTCATATTCTTTTCTTTCCAAGCTTCATTCATGTAATTATCGTTTTTTTCCCTTTTGATTCCTATGATTGCAACAAACAAAAACACATATATTATTATTATTATTATTATTATTATTATTATTATTATTATTATTATTATTATTATTATTTTACCTGTAGCTGTACATGTGACGACCACTTTTACTTTCTACATGTTGTTCCCAAACTACCCCTGTGTAAAAAAAGGTTACTGTTGTTGGGCTTGTATGCCGACTTTTCTTATGCTACAGCCTTGTGTTTCTGATGCTTCCGGTTTGCTGCAGTCTCATGTATCGTATTTTTTTAAAAAATGAAATGCTTTGTTTCACCATGTACCCATTATACATTTTTGTTATCACCTCACGTATTTCATCCCATAACCTTCTTCTTTATGTACAAACTAAAACACACAAACACACATACATACTGCAGGGGTAGTTTTGGAATATGACTGTTTTATGCCTTTTAACTGAAATAAACTTTATTTAGTTTTCAATATTTTTTTGTAAAATATATCTTCTTATCGAGTAGTTTTTGCTTTCTTCATCATTTTCATTTTGTTAGGTAAACAAAATTTTATTTGATTTTCAATATCTTTTGTATGATATATACCCCCTTATTGAGCTCATTCCGTTGACTTCAGCAATTTAAATTTGTTGTATGTTGTTGCAAAATTATCTCTGTTATCATTTATTTATTAAAATATAATATGTAGTTTTTTACTCAAAATTTCATACTTAAACCCATATTGATCTGCTGGCCAGTTTTCTAACTACTTTCAAACGTACATGTGTATATATATCTTACCCTTTTATCCGCTGTTTGTTTATTCCTTAAAATCCAGTTATACTTTTTGATTATTGACTGCTCTGCTCCCAATGAATCAAAACAAATATATATTATTTGTTTTTTTTTACCTTTGTGTATACATATAACCTCCACTCTTCCTACGTATATGTTGTACCGAAAATGCCCCTTGATGAAGAACCTACTATTCTTGCCCTTCCATGCTTAACTTTATTATTAGCGACGACATGACTTCTTACCCATATCATCCATTACAAGATATATATCCAATATTCATTATCCATTTTAAATGTACATTATTGTAGATCTTTACACTATTGAATTCTAGAAAAGAGGCCTTCCACATTGTCATACGTTACTGTGGGTATCAAAAAACGACCATATAAAAATTGCGAGTGATGTTGATAACTATATAACAGCCGAGCTGCTGGATCCAGTTAATGAGTCAGATTTGTACAATACCATAACGACCTGCATGATCCACGGTCCATGCGGACCACTTAACCAAAAGGCAGCATGTATGAAGGAAGGAAAATGTAATAAACACTTTCCCAAACCGTTTCTTGATGGTACATTTTTTGACATAGATGGATATGTACGTTACAAACGTAATTCGACTGCAAACCACACTACTCAATTTGGACAGATTCTTGATAATGGATACGTTGTACCATATAACAAAAGACCTTGTTCACGGTTCCGTGCACACATAAATGTGGAGTATTGTGGATGGAGCATGTTGATTAAGTATCTATTTAAGTATATTTCCAAAGGTGCAGATCGTGTAAAATATACTATCGATGATTAAGTATCTATTTAAGTATATTTCCAAAGGTGCAGATCGTGTAAAATATACTATCGATGATTAAGTATCTATTTAAGTATATTTCCAAAGGTGCAGATCGTGTAAAATATACTATCGAAAAATAGGGAAATACCGATGTCGCATCTAGCTCAGTGCCTACCGCCGCTCATGAGAAAGCGACGAATCATGATTGTCGTCCAATAAATGAGGTACATAATTATTTGGATGGGCGGTATATCTGTCCACATGAGGCAGCATGGCGGATATTGGACTTTCACATACATCATCGATATCCACCGGTTCAGGTTCTTATAGTTTAAGAGGAAAATATGCAACAACTGGTCTTCAATGGGGACAGTTCCATACCAGAGGTGTTATCTAATCCGTATGCCAACACTACTACCCTCCTTGGTTGGTGTCAAAGCAATTCAAGGGACCCTCAGGGTCATGATTTGACATACATGGATTATCCAAAAAATTACAAATAGGATAAGTCGAGTAAATCCTGGGATCGGAGTGTCTATGAATCATCAAAAATGGTAGGCCGCCTTGTATTCGTACACCTGAGCTGAGCTCTGGAGAGCTGTTCTATTTACGGATGCTACTGTGTCACCATAAAGGATGTACGTCGTTTAAGGATTTGCGTACTGTAGCTGGAATTGTGTATCCAACTTTCAGAGCTGCCTGTAATGCACTTCGATTAATAGGTGATGATGGTGATGATGCTGAGTGGTTGACGTGTTTTACAGAAGCTGCAGCATGGGCAACCACATCACAACTACGATCACTTTTCTATCACCTACTCCTTTTCTGTGAAGTTAGCAATCCACTTTTGCTGTGGAACACTGCCTGCGATAGGATGAAAGATGACTACTTACGTACCCTAAGCGCTGAGGTAGCAGATAAGGCAGTAACCTCTATGGCTGGGATTGTTGAACATAAATTACTTCATGATTTAAATGACATGCTCCGGTCCGTTGTGCCATTTAAATCAATGAGAGACTTTGGACTTCCTGTTCTGTCAGTCGATGTCACTGGTGTTCTACAAAATCGCCTACTATTGGAAGAAATGAGTTATGATAAGGAAGAGCTACAGAAACAACACAGTGACCTTATACCAAAGCTAAATCGCCACCAACGATTAGTGTACAACAATGTTGTCTCTTCCATTGACAACAAAAAACAGGTACTAATGTTTGTTTATGGGCACGGTGACACTGGTAAAACATTCCTATGGACGACCATTCTTTCCTATTTGAGATCTATGGGCAAAATCGCTTTGGCTGTTGCTGCGTCCGGAATAGCATCGCTTATGTTACCGTTCGGTACAACCGCACACTCAAGGTTCAAAATACCTATTGATTTAAACAACAAAAAATCATGTGATATCAAAAAGCGTACCCTCCTTGGCGATCTTTTACAACGAACAACACTCATACTATGGGACGAAGCACCAATAAGTGATAGAAGATGCTTTGAATATTTGGACCGCTCACTTAGAGATGTGTTATAATGTGAAGAAAAACCATTTGGAGGAATATCGGTCCTTCTTGGTGGTGATTTCCGTCAGACTCTACCCGTTGTACCAAGAAGCACACGTTCAGAAATTATAGGGCTAAGTCTACCGAGTTCGTATTTATGGCCATATTTTAAAATTCAGTTTCTGCATACGAACATGAGACTTGAACCCTCTAATACAATACCCCACTCCTCAATGAATTTATCTGAATTTGCCACATGGCTCTTAGCTATTGGTGATGGCCATATAGGTGTGCCTGACAAGGATGATCCACGAGACTCAAGCTGGATAGAGATCCCATCTTCACTCCTAATATCACCTTCCCCTAATTCATTACAGACCTTAATAGATTTTGTGTATGGGGACGATACACTTAATCAGCCGACTGCGTCACAACTTTCAGCAAGAGCAATAGTTTGTCCCACAAACGACTCAGCAGATGAGATAAACTGTCAAGTTCTCAAAATGGTCGCCACACCTGTGAGGGTATACAATAGTACTGACGCCATGCAACCCAATGGAAAACACACATCAGATTTTGAAGACCTCTATCCAATCGAATATATAAACCAACTAACTTTTCCAGGAATACCATCCCCATGAGCTTCTACTTAAGGTCGACTGCCCAATAATTCTTTTAAGAAACATAAATCAGAAGGAAGGTTTATGCGACGGTACCAGGTTGATTGTTTCACAATTGTTACCAACCGTTATTGAAGCAACGATCATAATGGGCACCTCGATCGGAAAACGTGTGTATATACCAGGCATAAAGGCATAAAGTTCATACACAAGTCATCAGATTTACCGTTCATATTCTCATGCAAACAGTTTCCAGTCAAAGTTTGTTACGCAATGACTATCAATAAGAGTTAGGGTCAATCACTACGTAAGATTGGAATCTATTTGTCACAGCCCGTTTTTGCGCATGGACAACTTTATGTTGCCCTCTCCCAAGCAACATCACCGTATTCGATAAGAATACTGCTAAACAACACTGAGACATGTAAATCCAACGAAACAAAAAATGTTGTTTACAGAGATTTACTACATAAAGTTACTTCAACAGAGGTCTACAGTATCACTCCCTGTCCAGCTTTTGAACATTATTACTACTTTTCATTTTATTCATATACAATTTTTTATTTACAGAATTCCTACTTATTTTTTTAATTTTATATTCACACTCAAATATAGAGCTTACATGTATACATTTTTTTATATTAGGGAACGCAAATAGAAAATGACGACAATTTCTGAGCTCAAAGCTGACGGTATTGGAGGCCCCTTACAGGTTAGAATACTACGCAAATGGAAACACGATATCCGGCAATAAGAAACCTGGTACCTGGCTGTCGACAAATACGTAAGTTCACACATTGGTTTCTTGCCGAAATAAACACGTTTTCTCAACGGATGATGCAATTATAAAAAAACAAAAACACAAGTAATACCATTGAATCTAATGTAAAGATAATATCTTTCTACAGGCAGATGCAATCCAAATTCTTGGACAGCGAACAAACCAGAGCTACATTGAATCTGTTTTAAATGTTTCAGAATGTTACATTATATCGGATTATAGCTGTCCTGAATTAGACAAGTATCAAAAGGTTCTAGAAAACGATATCTATATTGATGTTGGTCTGAAGTCCAGCATACAACGAATTCCAGACACAATCACAATTCCAAAAACCTGGTTTCGATTCGTATCAAAGTCACAGCTGATTGAACTCGGAGAAGCACCACCATACTATCCAGGTTTTCACTGTGTTATCCATATAACCAAAATAGAAATATGTACTACACATTACCTGTATAGAATATTGAACTTCTTTTTACTACTAAATTACTAACTTCCGTAATTTTTTCTTATTTGGCTGAATATATTGGGTTGATATGAAAAATGACAGAAGTTGGTTATTTACCAACTAATATAGGGGTACATTTGTCACATTTTTAAATAAAAAAGCCAAATGAAAAACTGAAAAAAAATTACCCCATAAATAACCACTTCCATCTTTAAAAAAATTACTTACTAGGCTTTCTTCCTTTGATTTCTTAGACTCTCATAGTTGTTAACCCTGACAACAGCTTATACACTTACTTACAAACAGACTTCATTGGCGTTCTTTCGAAGATAAGGGATTGCACAAAAGCAAATGGAGAACCATTTGTGTTGCTTATACTAAGCGACGAAAGGTATATATAGTAACCACCAAAAGACACACATAAATCCCATCATCCCTAACTAACCACATACAAAATCATATTCCATTAGTGGCAGTGAACTTGCAATAAATCTATGGAAGGAATGTATAACATATACGTAGAAATTCAACCGTGCCTCCCTAAATCACCCATCTGCAACAACTGTTGTTGCAGTAACGAATTTAAAACCATCAAAATCCTATGGTACCATCTTCTGCAAACCTATATATATATATATATATGTGTGTGTGTGTGTGTGTGTGTGTGCATCACCATTATCACATCACATCTCCTAATACCCTTAACTATAAAATATCATTGGTGTAGGAGTATTAAGACACGAATTGTCACATGCCACACATATCTATGTCAACCCCGATATATCGGAGACAACAACACTCATAGATCTATAAGTCACATAAATTACCGGACTTTTTTACGATATATATCAATGAAATTGTAGACCAATACCAACGACATTACAGATTCATAGGACCCTCAAGGCCAATGCCTGCGTTACCGGGAACGCCCACAACCTTATATCAAATAAAACTGAAAACCAAATCCGACCTACTGGTAAGACGATAACAATGATATTAGTATTTACTAATACAGTCCGTTTTACATTGTCAGGTTCTGTTACTTTCTATTTATAGGACAAAACTTTCATAGTAGAGGCCTCAATCAAGGAATTTCACTTCTAAAACACTTGGTACCAAACAATATGTCCAATCTGCAAATATCCTATTTTCAGAAGAGGCCCCCAGTGGTATTGCAATGCACATGGACTAATTGAAATGCCAGGCTACATGTAAGCATTTTCCAAATCACACAAATAAACCACTATTCGCTGATCATACTATTTACAAATTCTTCATGTGTATAGATACAAACTTACTGTTATCATTGCCGACACAACGAATACCATACCTGCAATAGTGTTTGAAACATCATGTCGTAAGCTATTAAAATCATCAATCGAAAAATTCATATCCGACAACCCGCTGACTAACAGGAACACCTTGCCTTCAATCATGACCGATCAAAAAGAACAAACCAAGACCATGTGTATCCAAATGCTAAGGGAATCAACTCCTGACAATATATGTTTCATAATAATCGACATCCAACAATCAACTACACCACCGGAGACACCCGTCCCAACAACACCCGGACAAACACTAACGAAAAGAATCCGATCGGATAACGAAACACCTGAGGCAAGTGATTATGCACGCCCTGTTGTACGCACCCTGACCTTTACTCCACCAGGTAAAAGAAAATGTAATAATGTCAAAAGGAAACACCAAATTACAAAAACCATTACTAATACTTTCTAAATTCTTCTATCACAGGCCCACCAACAACAACATTTATGAAACGAACGACAAAGTAATGAGTAACAACAAACAGGACCGTGAAGTCCAACTTTTCATTTGGATACTAATTTTCCCTTTGTAGTAAACAACACTAATAGCTATTCTATGTAATATAAACAATAATAAACAAACACCGTTTGCATGCTTGCACACAACCAGAATTTCACAAAACAACTAACCATATATACTTATTTAAATATATAATAGGCTTCCAAACATGCACCCGACAATATCTAATACTATGGATACAATGACATATACATATTTAATATCATACCAAAACAGGCAAAAATTCCATAAGTCTATACACTTGAATAACTTACCCGGAATGATTCTATAATGAAAACGATAAACATAATAAAAAACTTCCTGAATAAAGCACATATACCAATCCCGAATACCATATTTTCCCATTTTCCAAAACAAGGATATCCTGTGTGGTCAAAGATCTCCCCAGATATCACCAATTTAATATCACACTTGTGCCAAACAATCACATCCATCTACTAAAGGAAAAAAATGGTAGCCGTCACCCTACATCTATAACAAATCAGAACACTTCTTAATTACTTCCAATAAATGCAGTCCAACAACCATAATCCTCCCTTATAAAATACCACCCCAGATAGATCATCCTTCCACCAAACACAGGAGAAACTGCAAAACCAACTCGACAGAATGTAGGAAGCAGTTGCCATCGTCCAAAACACATTCACCTGCATCAACCAAACAAGGAAAAACATGATAAACGAAGCTCCAGTGGAAATGCCATACAGGCATGTCGTCGTCACCAAAACCTTCATCAACGAACTCGATCAAGACACGGTGGTCATGCTGGACATCTTCCAGGCAATGCAGGAGAACATGGCTTCAACAACCGAGATTTGCAAGAAAATCATCAACGACCACCAAGTCCCATGAAGAACCAAACCCAACTCTTTTGTAATCAAATGTCCAGTAGCTACCTCTTAATGAATGGACACTTTTGTAATGAAACACTAAGCAATGAATGATATCTTTTGATGCTTATCACATTATCTTTTTGTCTTTTATCACTGTTTCGAATGAATAACATCTTTTAAACCAGTTCCATTATATAATCATCCGCTCCATTAAGAGAGTACGAAATATGTTACAGAAAAATTAGAACCGATCCCTTTGCCCCCCGCAAAGCGGGGGTAACGAATCTAGTTATTATTATTATTATTATTATTATTATTATTATTATTTATGCAAATGGTGGTAATCGGAAAAAGTATGTACAAAATGTACTTTCTAAATTACTTACCAAAATATATTAAAATCTTATTAGAGACAATACTTTTTTAATTTTAATTTGAAATTATAGCATTTAAGCATTCCTCGCTCACATTAGAATTAATGCACAGTGCAAACCCACACTATGTATACCCTCCTACAAATTCTTTGGTATTCCTGAAACACCCACTGACCCAGGTATGGATCTTGTGCTTTCAGTAGTACGAACCTAATACTACATTTAATACCTATCCATAGGGATGAGAATTTGGCCCGAAAAACCAAACCGAACCGAAAACCAAACCGGACCAAATCGAATTAGAACCGAATAAGCAATTCGATTCAGTTTTCGGGTATCTATATAAGGCTTATTCGGTTTTCGGGTTATTCGGTTCGGGTTACCCGAATAAGGGCTTATTCGGTCCAAAAGGACCGAACCGAATATGAAAAGTCACATTTTTTCCCTAACATTATTGCTTATTCGATCTTCTTTTCTATCGATCATTACCCAACAAAACCCATTTAATACACCAAAAAATCAACGCAATTGAATTCGATCATCCGTATTACACCAAATTGACGAGTCGACGACATTACTCTTTGATTGATTGAGGTTTTTCTCATCCTTGCGACATTACTCTTTGATCAAAAGTTGCGGCTACTGCCTTTGCGACTTACGATAACCTGGACTCATTGATCGATCATCACCGGTTCAAAGTTCAAACTTCAAAGTCCATTCACGATAAGAAAAAAAAGTCAGCCCTTGCGTCTGGAAAAAATAATCGTCTCATCATCGTTGTTTTCTAGTTTCTACTATGATCAAACTCCATTCAAGTTATACAACATACAATATTTAAAATCACATTGTAAATGTTATTTGTAAATGTTATTCGGTTTATTCGTGTTATTTGGCTCCTTAATCATCTTCTACATGTTATTTGGGTTATTCGGGTCGAAACCGAACCGAACCGAATAATACCCGAACCGAACCGAACCTGTATTGCTTATTTGGTTCGGTTTTCGGTTCATACAATTACCCTTATTCGGTTTTTGGTTTATTCGGGTTCGGGTCGGTTCGGTTCGATTCCGACCCGAATAATATCCCTACATATCCATACTTGTTTTAAGGACTATTCCAAGACTCTTAAGTCACTTCGTAACGCTCTGCTAAACTCCTCACACACATGCATATGTCTAGCCATATGAATAATACTATACCTCCTAGAATCTCTCTTTAGGATTCTTCCCTTCCCTCTCGCTCCCGTATTTGCTAGAAATCTCTACCAACACTGATGCATGCAAGTTATACATAATACAGGTTCCAATAGACTATCGAATAAGTGATTCTACGCTAAGTCCACAACCAAACAAGGAACATCAAATAAGGTTAAATCAATCATTCTAAGGTTGTATAATCCTAATCGTGTACAAATCTGCACCATACGCCTAGCAAATGAACATTATCAATCTAGACCTCAAGTAGCACATAAAAAATAATTCCCTAGGCTATAAGGCATCTGAGATATCAGACAATTCTATCATGCTACTCATGAGCAAATCAACAACCTACATTCTAGCATGCATAACAATTCATAGCACAAATAAAAGATCATATGGGTATATTGGGAATTACTTACTTCCTCAGCTCCGACCGACTGTACGTATCACATCCTCCAAATGTTATAAAATCTTTTTAAAAAATCGTTTTCCTGAATAAAAGTATTCTCTTTTAAAAACTTATGGGAATGCTCTACAAATTATGAGTGATAGTTAGGTTATTTTATTCCATTTATTGTATTGTATCGTTTCTCTCTCCTTATAAATAGAGAGAGAGTTGGATATGTATTATTATTTAAGAGTGCACAATCTAGTTTCTAGTGAGATAGAGTGTGGTGAGATCTATCCAACAAAGGGAGAGTGATCTCTCCCAACTCATGTTCTTCATGTAGTATTTATTTCTCTATTTTTGTTTAAGAAGAAGAAGAAAAAGGGTGAAGAAGATATTTGTTATCTAAAAATATTTGAAGAATTGTTCCAGGCATTTTATTTATGCTTTGAAAATGGATACAATATCTTGGGTTTATTGAAGAAAGTGGAGAAGAGAATTCTCTTTGAAGATTTCGTGATCAGCATATGTGTTCCTAAGTTCATCATAAATAAATGTATGATGTTCATGCCTTTCAACTTAAATATTGTTGTAAATCTTTATGATAGAGATTTTGGACGTCATAAGGTGTTTACAAAAGACCTTTTTCCTTGTTACTTGATGTGCACAAAAAGTACCTACTAGTTTTAAATTTATAACCTAACTAACTCAACTAACTAATATGCACCTAGGCAGTGTAACTAGTCGGATTGTAATGTAGTTTAAGTAAGTCAAGGTCGAACACAAGGAACAGTTTTAATTAGCTAAAACAATTACTCTAAATTAATCTAAAATCAAACAATAATTAAAAAGGTTTTTTATATCTAATTTTGCAAGTTTAGATGAACTTAATTTGTCGATAACTATTCAATATTATAAAACACTTTTGTTAGTTCGAATCCACTTTCCCTCAATGGTTTACTTATTAATTATGACAATTCTCGTTTGTTACCAATTAAGATATTATTAGCAATTCAGTTCCAAATTAACTAATGTTGAATTAATTCATGTAGATCTATGCATAGTCACACATAATTTAACACATAATTAACTATTAAATAAAATTGGAGCTATGTAAGATTGAGTCGACAAACACAATTATGTTCATAGTATGAGTTCTCTAGCACAACCAAATGTAATAGTTCAATTACTTATCTAAGATTGGTTCTAACTTTGCTTTAATAATCTAATGCTCACTAAATTACTAGGTCATCGAATTCATGCAGATTAATAGTCACTAACTACACAGAATAAGAGTATAAAGTAATCTAGTACCAAATTAAGCATGCTAGGTGTAACGCCCATAGATTAGGGCTAGTCAATTTAAGGACAATAAGCATCAAAAATGAATTTTTGATGGAAGATTATTTTGAAGGAATAATCTTAACTAAGTCGTAGTATATGTTACAAAGATTCCATACATATAAAGAACACAAAAATCGAAGTTATAATGAAGAAGTTATGACCTGCCAATGTTTCGCGACAGAACCGACACGACGTTGAATGACGTAAAAAGTGAATTTACGTTAGAGCGATATTTAGCCTTAGCAAATCTAAACGAAATTCGTAGAATACGTTAAACCGAGATCGTGAATAAAAAGAACACCCAAATCTAACTTCGTATGAGGAAGTTATGATTTTTCGAAGTTTCGACTTAGCAGTGTACAGCCCGAAGTTCGAATACGAGATTGAGCGATATTTAGCCGAAACAATCTAAACGAGAATCGAAGATCTTGTTGATAGTAGTGCAACAATAAAAAGACAAATGAAAACGGATGTCGGATGAAGAAGTTATGAATTTATAACGGAGTTTTCTTGTCCCGGCCTACTAAAAATAAATAATAAAAACAAATTCAAAATTAGCTGACAGAGTCTAAACGAAATTTGTAGAGCGTAGTCTCACCTACGTGTGGATATAAAGAACGTCAAAAATAGAGTTCGTATGAGGAAGATGTGAATTTTTGAAGTTTATTAAATAATTAAAATATTAAATTTAATTATAAATTTCGATATTATCCAAAGGGGTGGGGTGGGGGGGGGGGGGAGTCAGCGACCTTATCCAGGTTACGCCTAGCATAACTAAAGATTACTCCCAACGTAATTCGGGGTTTCAACCCTATAAATAGCAGCTGAGTTTTGGTGCTCCATTCTTCCCTTTCTCTCGTGTTTTTACCTCATTTTGCGTGCAAGAAATACCCCGAAGCCACAGTATCATTCCCGAGACCTGAAGCAAGTCCCGAAGCCCCGAAGATCCCGAGAAGTGAAATTCCCGAGTCGAAGCTCTGCCCGCGAGAAGCCAATTTTTGTGAAGATCTTCCAGATCTACCGAAGAATACTAGTTCTACAAGCCGTAGTGTTGTCCGATCATCTTCTGATCAAGTGATTGTATAGTTACTTTCTTCTAACACATAAATATAAAGTATTAACAATGAAATATGTGCTATGTGTTATATATTATTTGTGTATTTGATATGGGCTTGGAATTGCTGTTTTTATACGGGTGTTAAATGATTTAAACTGTGTTTGTATTTATATCTACAAAAATGTTGGGTAGAACATGGGTAGATGGAATAGTTGGTGACGATGCGACTTCGTACCTATTGAGTAAATACTTGGTGATGATGCGACTTCGTGCTTATTGAGTAAGTCTTGGTGACGATGAGACTTCGTGCCAATTTAATAAACCTTGGTGACGATGTGGCTTCGTGCCCGTTGTGTAAACCCTGGTGACTATGAGACGTAGTGTCTATCGTATGAACCCTGATGACTATGTGACGTAGTGCCTCTTGTATAAACCGTGGTAGCAAATGGACATTGTGTTAGTTCCTTAGGTAAATCCTTAGGAATGAATGAATGAAGGATAGTTGGTTCTTAGGGTAAACCCTAGAGAAAATAAAGGAGATATGGGGATGGGTATTTGGGTTGATTGTTTGATAATTGAATATAATAAATTTATTATTGTGGGTTGAAAACCCTATATGCTCACCAGGCTCCCAAGCCTGACCCACTCAGTTTTCTT